CGTCGTACCAGCTGTTCTTTTGCACTTTCCGAAAACCAATGGTTTCGGTTGCAGCTGTACGTAAGGAGTTTGAAATTCCGTCCCACAGTTCCCTTATTAGAAAATAATGAATTTGTTTTAATAGACTTAAATTAGAAAAGTTAGATAATAGAGAGCTGTATTTCCAGAAAAGCAGTTTTCATGTCAACTTTCGTTTTGATCTTAATTTTCCGCAAAGCTTCAGTTATTCATTGTAGTATTTACACTTCTGATGTGATGATCTAATCTAAGGGACCCAAAACGAGGACCCTAAATGGATGCCTAGATTTTGTAGTTAAAAGCTTTTTCAAAAAAAAAAAAGGATCCCTAACAGCCGACATTATGAGTGGCTGAAACAAACAAATTCAAAAAGTTTATTAAAGTTGATGGCATTTCATATACAATGATCTACGATTTCTATTTTTCGAAAAATATGAAAAATTAACAAAATGGCGTATTCTGAAAAAAATTTGGTTTTTTTTTAAGGAAAAAATTGTCGTTTTTATAATGCCAAATTGACAGTTTTTAACCAATCAAAAAGATCGTCGCTCATTGTATAGTAAATATATTCAACAATATTCAGTTTAAGAAAAACGCGTTTGAAGTTTCAACTATTCGATTTATATCCGTGAGCGGTCGCTTCTTAGAACGCTGCCATTTACAAACTATTCGAGGTACGTTTTTAGCGATTGCATAGGATATTTCTGAACATATAAACTAGCGAAAAAAGCAAAAAAAAAGATCATCGATTTTTTGAAAGTGTCACACTGGTATAGCCCCTTAAGTCTATCATAATTTACAATGTCTGTTAAGTCCACTCGCTTTAGCCCAATAAAAAATATTGCTCTTATATATTTAAGCGCTTGAACTTTTACAAGGTTCGATTTGTTGATAATCTATATGCACACACACATTAACAGCAATACCAAAATGCACTCATATCTACATACACAGATATACTATACATCTGTATATATATTGCTATATATTTACCAATATATTTTCCACTGAAGGGTTTATTTCCGTTTCCGAGCTTCTGTTCGTTTTTTCGTAAAATTCATTTCAATTTCAAGGTGAATTTTTGATTGCCTGATAACGGCTAAAATGCAACACTTACTTCACACTGGTTAACACATACGCATTGCGTTTTATTTGCGGCTTTTTTGTAAGAAAAATAAAACTGTTTCATTTTAACATGATTATTTACACAGTGGCCACTTAATACAATAAATTACAAAATTTTACGAGGTGAAATGTTTTCCGAATTGAAGTATGCATGTGGAAGAGAATAATTTTAAACGCAAGGGATTTTTGTATTAAAAACGAAAATATTATGTGTGTTTTTAAGTATGTGTGTGCATGCATATAAAAAAATTGGAATTAGTTCAAAGAAAATAATAAAAAAAGAACGCGTTATAGTTTTGCTATTTTTAGACTATATGAAGCATTATTACGTTTCAATTAAGTATGTGCCTACGAGTATGTTTTAGTACACTCAAGGTCGCTTTGGATTTATGGCCACACATCAGCTAACTACTTATGCTATAAGTTTGTACGCCATAAATAATATGATTATTTAGTAAGTATATATGTATATGCTTAGTATTGTATTTTGTTGTGAATTTGACGCTTAACGGTACTCTTTGATTTACCTATTAGGTAAATATCTTTACTCAAAACAACAAACAAATTGCAAGTGCGGAATAGTTCAATAGTAAACTAAGGCAATAGGTCAAATTTTATAAATTAGCACCTCAACAATTTTAATGTTCTCTTCTTTATTGTCTGACAGTTCCATATTTTGGTATAAACCTTGAAATTACTTGCTATGCCATATGGCTGATGATTTTTGAGAACTAAATCAAAGCTGAAATATCGTTATTACATTTTTCATTGCCGATCGAAGGTCTCGCTTGTACTCCTGTTACTATGGCGAAGGTTTCAAATTCCGATTGGAATAACTAGTAATATACCATAATTCAGATTAAATTTGACCCGGATTGATGAAACTAACCAAACAAAATTTTCCGTGTTTTAATACAAATTCGATGAACTCATGCCACTTTCCCCAAACGGATTGTTTTCAGTTTTGAAAATCACAGGATGCCAAATCTTTCATATACGGTGCCTGAGCGAATGCTCTCGTTTCATGTTTTGCCAAAAGGTCAATCACAATCGTGATCAAAAATCATTGAATTTTCTGCACGCAAATCCAGTCGTTTACGACGAGTTTATTCGCGGAGATGCCTCAAAATGGACAAGTAGTATCCCTTACAGATCTTTTGACCCAGTGAAATGAACTCATGGTGAACTACAGTATTGTAAAAAGCGATGGGCACCAATTAGATTTTTAACCCATTTTCAGCAAGTTTTCGATTACTTCAAGCACCTTCACTGAAGGCTTTGTGCCATTGAAATTATTTTATTTGTAATGAAGTGGGTTCACCAAAATATCTCTGAAACCTTATAAACGACTTTGTTGCCGTGATTCTAGTGGAACACACAAAATTTCAATTAATCTCGTCAAATATTTCTTCTATGATAAAAATCACTATACAAACTTTTCCCTGCCAAAATGTGTATTTACGATGGAAAAAATTTGACATATGGAGACAAAACTTCACAGAAACAGAAAAAATAGCTGTACCAATCTAGAAGAAAATATATCGTTTGCATAGTTTATATGGACTAGTCTTGATGTAAACTTCTTTTATGACAATTGTGGGCTTGCCTACTACAACACCACTTGGCCTTTAAGATAAGCGTTTTTCAAAACGATCAAAGAACAAAAAAGCATAACAAAAAAAAAGTTGATCAGCACTTCATGTAGTAGAGTAGAAGTAGAGCGTTACTAACCATGTTAAAGAGAAATGCTAAAAGCGGTTTAGTAATGAAGAGTTTACCAATTATTTGTATGCATGTATGTGTATGTATACCGTGGGATTAACAGGTGTTTCACTCAGTTAACGCTGATTTAAATTTACTACAACTGTTACTGCAATGCTAACTTTTAATACAAACACCCATACATATATACATACGTTATATTTTATTGTAGCTGTGGCACTGACAATGACTTTTCCGCCCATTAACGATGCTTTTCTGCTGTTGGTGAACTGAAAAACCTGAAATGACTCATACATACATACATACTAACATTCATTCATGATTTTTATCAGCGGCTAGCTATTGCTACTGATTAGATCGAGATTTCCGAAAGTCAGCAACAGCAAAGAGATCGATACATATTTCGATGAGAAATAACACACGAGAGAGGCAAAGCTCACACATACATATCTTCGACACCTGTTGCCCGGCAGGTATACGAGTGTATGAACTGCCGAGTCGTGTTGTCGAGCAGGCGATGGAGCGCGCGTCCGTCTTGCGCTCGTAAATGACAAACGCCGAATGAAGCGCTTTTCGAAGTTCGAAAAGCTTGTTGATTCTTATCGTTTGCATGTGTATGCATATTATTTGATAAAGTTTTAAATGATGTCTTTCATTTTTGGTTTATTTGCTTTATTGACAGCTTTAATTTTTCGCTTGCCGCCTGTTTAAGAGAGTGTGTGTGTGTGATATTTTTGAGCGACAGCTGGAGAGTTGGTGGTTAATATGCTGGCTCACTGCCTGGCTAGCTCGTTGATTTGTTAGCTGATTGAATATGTTTGTTGGTCGGTGTTTTTTATTGTTGCAGCTCTAGCTTGCTGTGAGTGCTGATCGCTGTTAGCGCTTTATTATAATACCGAGCGTATGCCGTCTTCGACCATTCAGTGTACGATATTCCGGCGCACGGTTAAGACGGTTGGAATATTTAAAATTTGAATTTCGACCAAATCACAGCGGTTCCGTTTAGACCAGTTATTTGCTCTTTGCTTTCGTTCGATACCAGTAGTGCGGAATGTATATAAAAAACAAAACTTTTTGACGGCACAAGGCATGCAATAATAATAAATTATTGCTAACGTAGCATTTGTTGTGCCACTAAACAATTTAAATAAATAATATATAGTGAAAAGTAAAAACTCGAAAATATATTCACACGTTTTAAGCATAATTTTGTGTTTCTATGAATCGCAAAAAAACAACAAAAAATTTATATAATAATTTAACTTATTTAATGTGTTTGTGTTGCATGTAAGATGAGATATTTTATTTAATATTAATTAATTTAATGCCACGCGCTCAAGTTTTGCATATTTTGGTTAGAAAGGGCAGAAAGAAATGGCGCTAATTCTCGGTTTTAAAAATCTGCCCGTTGCTGAGTTGAAGTAAATTGTATTGTGTTAAGTGTGCGTCTATTGGTTGAAATATCTTGCAGATATATACGTAAAATTAGTGATATTCAAATTGCTAGTGTAATATAACTAAATCAGTTAAACTAATTAAGCGCTTAAAATGACAAGCGCTAGGAGAAAAAATAAAGTTGAGTCAAAAAAAGTAAAAGAAGTAAGAAAATATAAAAAACTTACCGCACAACGACACTGTTGACACATTTGACCATTTTAGCCAGTCCAACTGGCTAGCCAAGCCGCAACCACAAAACTTGGCTGAAAATATTGCGACCCAACCACGATTGACAGCGCAAAGGCCACACGTTTAACCTTTAACAGACATTTTGAGAAATTAAAAAAAAAACTTAAGATTGAACGACTTGATATATGTATTAAAAAAAAATTATAAACAAAGTAACATACTGGAAGAATAATAATTTACATTTTTAAGCGACTGAACAAAAACAAATAGTACTAGTATTATAATTAGGAAGTTACTATTTTTAGAGCTTGACTACATTTATTTAGTGTTTAATAATTTATATTTATACACCTTTTCCATTATCTAGTTTTTCACATAAATTTTGCATATTATGACACTTAATAAGTTAATTTTATTAATACTTAAAACATTTTTGCTGTGCAGGTAAAGCTTTGAAAATTTTATTATAGTATAAACATTATAGTCTATAGCTGTAATGAAAAATTTTACTAAGATAACACAGAGAGAGAAAAATTTGCAACCAAAATTTAAAAGAGATTAAAATTAAAAAAACATGTTTATACAATTTGCCACCAAAATGTATGTTGTTGTTTAAAAAATCTTGAATTTCAGTATTTTTTTTTTGCTTTAATTTCTGTTGAAACTGTAAATAATATCCAACAAACACTTCTTATATGCTTTTGAAATAAATTTTAACTAATCTATGATGATTTCGAAAATTGGTAAAGTTGTACCAATCTCTTTCAACACTTCTATTTCGCTTTATACTGAAAGATATATTATTTTCTGATAATTTTTAAACTTTTTTTGAAATAATCAGTACTGAAATTATACTGCTATCGGTGTTGTAGAACAATAAGAAGCTACAAAGGAGTACAAATTTAGTTTTTGGCCACTGTTTTCTTTGATTTTGAAGATTTAAGTTTTTCTCTTCGGTAACCACCACTGAAACAACAACCACCACGGTGTATGTAGTTATGACCTCGTTTGGGTCTATACAATCGAACCGTAAAAATGTTTTTTCAAATAATAATTGTGTATATTTCAAATTTAATTTTCCCAACCTTTTGTACTAATTAAAGAATTTCAAAAAATATATAAGCACTCAAATTAAAAACCAAAAAAAAAAACAAAATACATCCAAAAAATAATAATCAGAAAAAAAATAAAATAATTATTAATACGTTCATTAAACACACCAAGCATAAAAGATTACATCGTCTTTCGATAATTCGCAAATCTTTATATTAATTAGAGCATCCCTAGAAAATATTTGGTCAACAGACACTTTAAGGTTTTATCACTCAAGTACAAAAAAAGAAAAATAAAAAGCAAATAAAACCATAAATTAAATTAATGCGCTTATAAACACACCAAGCTTGAAATATTACCTTGCCTTTCCGCAATTAATAGTTATAAACTGCATATGAATTTAGCGCCGCAAAACAAAAGCTGCAAGTTATTGTTGCAAAAGCTATGACAACAAACAATGAAGTGAACAAAGTGAAAAAACTAATATACAAAACCAAAGAACAATTTAAATTTTTTTAGCATTGAATTTATACCCTTTATGGCCAGCATGCTTGCCAAATGTGCTATGAGCATGCGCGCCAGCGTTGGCTCATCGCATTCTATCGCGTGTTGATTGATTGCGTGCAAATTAAAAGCTTTAAAAATAGTGTTGAATATAAAAAATACATATAAACGAGTTCAATGCAATCCAAGCAACATTCATGGGGAGGTCAAACCATACAACACCCTCACAACAGGCGTGCAAATTAAAATTATTGCAAGAATAACAGCTGAAATTGTTACAAAAAATTAATGCAGTGGACAAAAACACACAAGATTTGACACATATTTGTATGTACGTACATTAACAACAACTTTATGCAAAACACCGTTATGTTGCCACGGTATAAAAAATGCATATATTCACTGCTATTTGGCTCTATGTACATATATATGTATGTATGTGCACTTTTCTGCACTTATGACGTTCTAGTCGACGTTAGCAAAAGCGCCAACCTAGTCGCGTCGCCTTTTCCTCTTTTTTACTTTTATTTATTTATTTTTTTATTATCTGCTGTGATATTCATTTTCTGCTAATTGTGCATATAATTATTAATAGCTAAACAACGGCGCGTGCGTGCCGGCACCTACATACATATACATATAAAAGCATACGTGCATATAATAATCTGTATGTGTGTTTGTATTTATATGCATAAAACGTCAGGCGTCATCATTTTCACGTTAACTTGCTGAGCATTGTTTTTGTTTTACAAACTTACTTGATTCGACGCCGTTGCTGCTTGATTACTGCAAATTCAAATGCAGGCAATGTAGAATTCTTTGGAAAAAAGAAGAAGAAACGGAAAAAAATCGAGTAATTAAATGAAAAAAGTATTTTTTTATAAGAATATTGTACTCGTAAATAAGTAAATAGGCATTATTGTCATTGGCGATTATTTATGCACGTACATATTGTATCTATCTATATGCATATGTACATATATAATGTATAATGTGTATGTATGTGCAAATGTGTTGATGTGTGCATTTGTGGCAGTGCAAATAGGTGGTAGGCGGTGAATGGGCATTGCCACCTGACACCGTTGCTCTTGCTGCTGGTGTTGCTGTTGTTAGTGCCGGGGATGTTGCTGAGTTGCTGGCAGCCAGCTGCCGGCCACTTGAATTGTCAACACGTGAATGAACGCAGTTACATGTATGGATATATTTTTATTTGCATAGACATATGCACAAACATATATATAAACACATGTGCAGTCGAATGCGGTGCATACCCGTCAAGAAAATATGTGTCTCAAATTATTTAGATAATGCTCGATTACGTTGCAGCTTCATTGGTTCTCAAGTGGGTCAAGGCAAGTCTGCACTCATATGAAATACATTTCACTTTCAGGCAATATAAAATCTCGAAATTTGATTTTGATATTAAAATTTTTCTCATAATAACTAGAAATTTATCAGTTTTTACCGTTTAAACTTCTCAGAAGCAAATACTAAGTCTACTTTTGTCAAATGTGTATCGTATGTAAGCTTTTCTTACTGGGGTTTGTTCATACGTAAACTGATTGTTAATGAATCGCGTATTTTATAAAAACACATACTTGTGTGTCTCAAAATCTGCTGGTATCAATTTTTGAATGTTTGACGGAAGTTGGCTACAAACATTAAACATTTTTATTGAGTACTCCCTTAGAATGTTGATTTGGTTAAAAAAAATGTAAAAACTGTAAAAATTTTGCTGTTTTCTGTATCGAAGTTTTGCGTTTGATTTCCGGTAATCGATTCCTTTACTCCACAACTTCGGCAAAACTTTGTTAAAATCACTTTCTGCCTCTAAAACTCCTGAAAACACTTTGGAAGCAGATTTTTATGTAGATTTACAGAATTTAATCGACTTTAATTGGTTTCCGTCAATCTCGCCACCGATTTCTAGAAGGAACTTCGAGAAAAGGTGTCTGGCTGTGAGATAGATTTATGTGCTTAAAATGATCTTAAATATAAAAATCGACGAATATTATTACTATAAATGAATACAGTTAATGATCGAAAAATTAATTAAAATTTTCATTTTTGACGAAATGACGACTTCCCAAAAAAAAGCAATTTTTTATGAAAAAATGAGTCGTTTAAAAAATCTAAAGAATTAACAAAAAATCTTACTTCTTCCACCTTTACCTGCCCAATAAAACTTTTTGGCAAATTAACTTCAACTTTTCGGAGAATATTTGCAAATATATGTATATTCCATATAAATTTAGGCAAAAAAATCGATTTTTTGCAAATCACAAGTAGATACATACAACCCGGTGAGACAGGATCACCATATTTTCTCCTTTTTGAAGCACTTTCAATAAATATTATCAGTTTGTAATTGATGTGTCTACCTATTATAAATATGGTTGTCAAAAAAGTCTTGCGGTATTTTTGCGGTATTTTTATTGAATTTTCAATTGTTCATACAATTTTTTTTTTTTGAAGACTCATGCCCAGCTCTTGACCGATGCTACGGCTACTACTCTGCCTCTTTCGATCAGCGATTTTAACGCAATTTTCGACGACAGGCCTTCCGGAGCGCGGCACATCTTCGACCACCTCTACACCAGAACGAAAACGTTGAAACCATCGTTGTGCGGTAGAAATGGAAACTGTATCGGGTCCATATACTGCACAAATTTTATTGGCGGCTTGAGATGCATTTATTATTTTATTTTGCTCCATGTTTGCGACGCTATAACTCACGAACGACTTGTTAGCGCGTGAAATGAGCTTTCCAAAAAGGTATAGCATGACCCGATGCGACGAATAAAACTAGAACTACGGGCTCTCAGCGCCAACTAGCGAAAATACCGCAAGACTTTTTTGACAACCTAATATAATAATACATATTTGCAAGAATTTTCCTTAAAGTTATCATTAAAGCCGAGTTCGCAATTCCAGGTTGAAATCACTTAAACATCGTTTTTATGATATTATTCTTACTACCAATCGGAGAATATTTTCAAATATATGAATATATAGAAATTTTTCAACATTAACCTAGTGTATAAAATGCTTAATAATAATATAAACTTTTTTAATCATCTGTTTACCAGAAAATTTATTTTGAT